CAACTCATCCCAGATCTTATTATTCACTAAGAAACTTTCTTAATGAAGATTCTACACTAAAGAGATCATTTAACTTAAAGACTCTGAGTGCGGTAATACTGTAAAATTTAACTACTCAGTGACTCGTGAATAGACCTGATTTAGTTTGAGATGCGGAAATACTCTTTCCCTACTCTTGTACATAACATTTACCTAATCATTTTAATGCTTCATTGGTTTACCTAATTATTTTAATGTTTCTGTAGTTGGTTTATTTTACGACCGCTTTTAATCTCTTTGACGCGATATGCTTCATTAAATCTGTCACATGTGTCCTTGTAAAATATTCTACTGAAATTCGACAAGAATATAAATTTTCTATTTAACTATGAATAATTTTTAACATCACAAATAATTATTTTACTACAATTTTTCTCAAAATTACTAAGTAACTAACTTGTACCATGACTATTTCGCCAGGGACCCAATTAAATTGTGTAACGAGCAAGCTATGTTTGCTTGAAAGAAGAGAAAATATTGCTTACATTAAATAGGACTGTATTCTTAAAATATTTGTAGATATTTAGTAACATGTTTCAGCTTACTAAAGTATAAATGAAATTAGTAATAAAAGAAACATCCACACATAAAATGTAGTTATTTCCGCATCACAAGCATCTTTCATCAAAATAAAAACACAAGACTTTCATTTTATGACAAACGTATTTTCACATTTTATAGGTAAAAATATTTATAAACAATAATGGGTGAAATAACAAATAGATGAATCATCATCATCATCAGCTCACTATACGTCGTACCGAGGGGCTCGGAGCATACCCTAAGTTAAGAGTGATTAGGCCATAGTCAACCACGCTGGCCCAATGCGAGTTGGTTGACTTCACACATATCTTTAAATTTCTTCGCAGATATATGCAGGTTGCGTCACGATGTTTTCCTTCATTGTAAGAACGTCGGATAAAAGTACATATGTAAATCTAAAATAGAAAAACACATTGGTACATGGCGGTATTCGAACCCAGGACCTGCAGAGTACAAGTCAAGTGCTTTAACCCCTGAGCCACCGACGCATGAATAGATGAATAGATGAATAATAGTTGTGATTCTAATTATATAAAAACCATAGACCAATAAATAATTATTTTTCTACTGATAAAGTTTAAATAAATACAAAAATTACCAAGCTTATCAGATCAGTAACTAACTACATAGTAATTAAAAATGAGGCAACAGTGATTCGCTGTCTATCCGGTAACGAAACACCGCGATTTCATATTTGAATCGCTGGTCCGGAAAATTGGGTATTAATTGAATTGTCAATTTTCGTATCATGCATAAATGTTGTCCAACAAGTTTAAACATTTTCTACACAATCAAATAAAAGGATATATTTATCGAGTTACATTTTAAATAACAATTTCGTTTCTTAATCATACTTCATACTAATATTATAAATGCGTATGTTTAGATTGATGGATGGATGGATGTTTGTTTGAAGGTATTTCCGGAACGGCTCAACAGATCTTGATGAAATTTGGCACAGATATAGAACACTGGAAGAACACATAGACTATTCATTATTATTTTTTTAATTCCGAGCGAACAGAGTCGCTTGCGGCAACTAGTTTTTAAAAAAAATATTCGATTTACAAGTTAGCTTATAAACTAGATTTGCTACAAAAATTCTAACAACACTAACACATCTGAAGAAAATATTTCTTTAACTCACGAACATAAACTTTTGTTAAGGTATTTCTTTAGAAAAGTTTACGTGAAATATTCATATTGTAACCGCTTGCCTTTACAAGTTAATATTAAGTTTTCAAAGTAAAGTTCATATTCATATAAAGACTGCTTTTGAAACTATTTGCCTCACCTAACTTACTGTATCAAAAGTATCTATAAAATAAGCTAATTAATTAAAAACTTTTACTACTTTGGATATTTACACAAATAATTTATAAGAATTAACTTAGGTTCACTAATTTCTTAATATTTACATTGAAACATTTCTGATGTTTAATTAGATTCAGATATGACTACTGATATCGATGTATGGAAGAGTACATATATACTGTGCCGACCCTCCGTAGAGATAAGGGCAGGTTGATGATTTAATTAGGCTTAAAAATAATTAAGTATCGATAAAATTTCTTTCATCGACCGAAGTAACGCTTAAGAGTTTTTTTTGGATTGACCCCTCATAGGCGTTTTTGATTCAAATCTTCTCTTTATCCCCCAGCGACCGACGTAACATCGAATCGCACTTTAAACCTAAGCAGAATTTAGTTCAATATTCGAAATCTTTTGATGTGGATTGCTGACTGATTCTTCTAGTATTATGGCCTGTACAATAAAATCTTTCCTTTTCAAAGCATAACTAACATAACTAATTTCTTATATCCTACACAAATTTTAAAAACCTTGCATTTTAGTTTTTAAACATCTCCTATACTTTATTGACGTTTGTATTTTGTTTTTTTTATACATCATAAAGTGGCAAACGAGCGAGTGACGTGAATTCGCCGAAATAGCGAAGCGACCGTTGCCTCGTACATACGAAATTTGACATGCATTGCCTACCTGTAATTGACGGAGGCGACGCGCAGAAGGGGAATATTTCAACTTCCCATGCATTCCCTTGTCCGTCAAAAGTACTTCCCCTTCCCATCCTTTCCTTACAAGAAAAGGGTGGGAAGGTAAAAAGGACTAAAATACATCCTATTCTGATAAAAAAACTACGGCACGTTTCATTCATTGAGTCACGATTCAGCTCAGTATTATTTTCAAAAAATAACGCGGGACAGACAGATAATGAAGTTCTGTCATTTAGGGTTTAATTTTCGCCTTTACAACTGGCACCCTAAAATTCGACGCGATTTCGTGACGGAGTAAATTAACGTAGTTATCCATAGCCGGGCTCATGTTGTAGACAGCATTGTAGGTGGGGAAAGATGTTCGTGTGACGGTGAATTGGATTCGACTCCAATTATTATAAGCTTATAGGGTGTCTCGTTGTCATTTAAGAATGTAACACTGTTAAAAATGAAAATGTATTCACTAAAATAACTTCATAGGACACATATGCAGTTAAAGCTAACTTGTATGTATTTTTTAGATAAGTACATTTACTATTATTATTAAATACTCGTAGATTATAAAGCTTAAACAATAGCCCCTTAACAAATACTTTATAATAATGTGTCTTAATATTTCTCATGAATTATCTGTGTGGCAATGTTCTTCCTTTACACCATAGAGGTTGAATATGAAAAGATCGAACTGGCCACATTCGTTAAGACATGTTTTAAAAAAAGAACAAAAACAACAGTAAAAATTCCTCAATGAAATTGTACTAACGCAATTTGAAGCAGAGCTTGAATTTAAATTATATCTTTTTGTTATGACTGCTAATAATTTCTGCGTAATATTGGAAAATTTTCAAATACATGTTAAATCGGCACGATGCAGTCACAATCACGCGACAATAAGCACGAAACGTAATAAGTTAATTAGTAGTTCATTGCATATTTTCATGGTGATACTATTTAATATTATATAACCTTTTTAATAATAATGAAGATTCAATAGCGTTATTAAAGTCAATATTTTTTTTAATTAATAAGACTTTCAAGATATTAGTATTATAGATTAGGACAAATTATTTTTTTTTAATTTCATAAGGTGGCAAACGAACGAGCAGCCACCCGAAATCACTGAAATAGCGAAGTGACCGTTGCCCATAGACATACGCGATGGCATATGCGTTGCCTACCTTTAATCGACGGAGGAGAGGATGCACAGAAATAAAATATTTTCCCCTTCCATGCATCCTCTCATCCGGAAAGTCCATTTCCACTTCCCATCCTTTCCTTATAAGAAAAAGGGTGGAAAGGGAAAGAGGACTAAATTAAGCCTCCGGGACGCACACTCATCAGTCGTAATGCGGAATTGTTTCCACTTGACGCCTGTCTTCTGTGTGGTCGTGGTATTTCACCGGGCGAGCCGGGCCAATTCGTGCGAAGATGTTAAAGCGTGCTCTACCACTGTTACTGTAACTGCATAGTTTTTACTTCTTATTAATAAAAAATTAAATTACTTTTCTCTAGCTCCAGTTGTTAGGTAAAAAACTTTTTGAACATTTTAAGAGTTTGAATACTAAAGAAAATCGATTTAACTATAAGTAAAATCCACTAATGTCGGAGCCAATGACGAGAAACTTTTCTGGTCCATTAGAGTTTCATCAACTTATCCCATTACTGTTAGAAAAGTTGAAGAGTTTGTAGTTTAGAGTAATTAGCATCCCTATGGTACAGATCTGAATATCAATGACCTGAAGAACTTATAAAGTCGTGCATCTTAACCAGCGAGAAATTTAAATTCTGTGCACAAAGATAAGACATCAAGGGAAGTCAAACTAGAGAGATCAAGAATAATCTTTTCGGAATATATAATAAAGAAAAAAGTAATTTGTCTTTGCAACTATGTTATTATACTATAATAACTATGCCTATAACAATGTTTTTTTTCTGTAGGCTTCTTTCCTAAGATAATCTTAGATATGTATTTTGAGTATGAAGTCAATAAATATTTTGCTAGAAGCTATCTCCAGAATGGCTTATCGGATCTCGTTGAAATTAGGCATAGATGTAGAACGTAGTCTGGAAAAACACATAGGCTTACTAAGTTTTTTTAAATCTCATGCGGAAGGATTCGCGTGCTATAAATAGTCGATTACAATATTTTGTGATGTTTTGTAAATATATTTACGGGTGATAAAAACCATTTTCCGCTTACGTTATTACAACTGTCAGATTCTATTTGTTTGCTATATCAAACATAAGCTTAAGCTTTCAGATATATACGTGCTGGGATTCCCTTCCTTTGTTTTTCCTCATCCGATAAAGCTAATAAACGTTATGAGTGAGAGAAGTAATATAAATGATAATGTTTGCTAGACACTTAAATACCAGCGTTCACATTTTATTCTTTGATTTCAGGTACTTAAGATAACTAGGTATGTATCTACTACTTTACTACCAACAATTTCAATCAGCAAGTGACTAATATGTGATCTCATAGACCTTCGTATACGAATGGTGCTGACTAAAGCCATTCGTTCGCAACCTGCTTGTTAATATTTTCGCGAAAAAGTCGATGTGATTTTCAAGATCCTCACCATCTTATGCAATTGACATTTAGGTAGTATGTCTGGCAGAATAGACGATTAAAATCCTCCATTCACCATTGTGATTATGAGGCGCCAGCAACTCGATAATCGGATATTATATAATATTATAATTTAATAGTTCCGAAGATTTAAGTTTCCTTTTGTGCCAAGGATCTAAATCTTAAATAATAATAAAATAAATTAAAAACAATAATAAAAAACAAATAAATTATGTGTAAAAAACAGTAATAATTTTAAGCGCAATGTATTGTATAATATTATGAAAGAAAAATAAAATTTTGTATATAAGAATTCGTATATGAAGATTCTTTTACAAACTATAATATAGACGGTCCTCCATTCGACAGCTCACTTTATGTTCCTTTGTATTGAAAGGAAAAAAAGGGTTGCGAAAATTGTTTCTTACGTTCAAAATCTTTCACAGACAACAATTTATGTTTCAGTAAACAAGTCTTACAACTATGCCACTATAGCTAATTCATATTTACATTTGCTAAGTAAATATGATCGATAATTTTCTAACAATAAGGATATTTGGATAAAAGCATATGTTTCAACATTGAAACACTCAATTCCCTGTCGTCATCTTTTCTCTCCTGAAATATGTTTATATGTAAAATGCACATGCAGTCCGTTCCTTTCTACATATAAATAACGAATACAAGAACATCTTATCATACGAATATATTCATAAAAGCCCTTTCCGCTTTTGCAATGCAAGTGAATTTGAATCGCATATTTCGTTTCAACGCGAAGAATGTCACCCGCAAATATTCACTCCCGACAGTTTCTCAAATTCCCTTGCCTTGACAACTTCATTCGCATTCTATTTGCGGCGAAGATGTTTTACTTTATCTTACCTTCAGTCATATCTTTCGCTTAAAAACGTAAGAGAATAGAAACGTATAGACCAAATTATATGATATTAGAAATTAGAATTTTCAATGTTTTCTAGGACAGTGGAAACTAATGGTTTTAATATGTTCAAAGTATGAAATTATAAAATGTATTGCAAATTCGTCCCTCTCATAAAATTCGGTATTTAAATGAACTGCGTTAAATTTGTTTTTGATGTTTTTCCTTGCGTGCTTTCAGTACAGGGCTCACAAGTCAAAATATAATCACTTCATTCCTTTTACAAACTGAAGTGGTATTTCTAAAGTTCAAGCGCCCATTTCATGTTCAGTTTCAGCCATGACTCTTCTATTAACATTTTAATTAAATGGAAACAAGAGAACGTCGGACCTCTTTTCCATTTCAAGTTTGCGGGAGCAGTTGTGACCAATCCGTCGTGTCTACTAATTCTTTTTTGACGTTAATTCTTTGTGATCAAGTTAAATAAAATTCTGTTTAAATCGTTTATTAATAAAATAAGATTTATTTAATTTTAGAGTTGAAAAAGCATAGTAATTAATTGTATTGTAGATTACAATATCATCATATAAAGATATTTTCGGCGCATATTTGAATTACGAAATAATTTTCTTGAGTGAAACTATTACTTTAAGATTTAGAATCTCTATTGATTAAATTTACTTGAATTTTTTCTTAAAATACTTTGCTAATATATTTCCTAACATACGTTAATGAAAAATACACGCGGTTCGACATGCTCTTTCAAGTTGATACCACGTGGAATTTAGGTTTTAAATAAGGCTCGTTCGGTTATATTACTCTCTAGGGAAATCAATGAACGGGATTCATTTGCTACGGCTGAAGTTGACCTACAAAATGTATTTCTTGTTTGGCCAAACGACGAAGAATACGTTTGGAAAAACTTGCAACTGTATATTTTAGCTATTCCCATAGAGTGCAAAAGTCGTTGAATTTTGCACATGTTGGGAATTTAACGTTTTCAGATGAAACAAGTATACTTTGTATCATATTCATATTTGTAGATATTTCAAAATGTGTATCTTTAGGTCAATGCTGTAATGATGAATAATTTTATTAAAAGACGACTAAAGCGTACTTTGAAATGATCCTAATATATGTACATTTCTAATAAATAAATGCTAGAGGATCTTACTTCAAATAATTAAAAAAAAATTACATGACGTGTTGTTTCTTCTTCGTCAAAAATGGCCTGTTGTGGTCAACTTCAAACTTGTTACAAAACCAACTATTGAGTTGATCATTTTTACCTTACATTTTTACAATTTACTTAATTTTTTAATAGGTTTTGTGTTATTCCTAGTCCTTGTTATTTTCGTATTAGGTTGTATATGAGTTGTACTTGTTCTGGAATAAAAATATATATTGTATTTATTGGTGATATACAAAATCCAGCGTGCAATATCTACCCTCGTTTCTGTCCTTTGTGTAATGAAGAGCTGCCAGCTTATTTTAAAAAGTCAAATACAGACGCTGAAGCTATTGTTGAGCGAAAATTGTTTATTTTCTGGCCGTGCTGAAAGTCATTTGGATCGAGTCCATGCAGAATATTTTTTGCAATTTTTTTTCACTTATTTTAGAAAAATAAACAATATGGAGAAACGCGTGTAGCCTATTTTCATTTTCGTTGTATTATCGCTGTACTAATAAGGAATAGCCCCGTTGTGTTTTTGGACTGTTTTTCCCATTTTATGCATTTAATGTATGTTGAAGTTAGCATATTAATCAGGAAACACCTCACTTGAATTGATTTCACCTTATCCGTTAAGGAGAATGGTCACTAACTTTGTGAGACGAGAATTTTATCTAATAACAATAAAGATAGCTTATAATACACATAATATATTACATATAATAAGAAAAAAAAGGTTTGGTTGATATGAGAAGTTTTATGACCGTTTGCATAGATATATATTTTTTTTAATTCGGAACAGTGGAATCTCGTATATATAGGTGATAATATTTTAAAAGCGTCAGTTTTAAGCTTTTAAGTTTTATGAGGACCATAAAAACGGACATTTGCTTCACATGTGACCAAAGCAAAAGTACTCGTGCTTTAAACTTCTATTTATAAAAAGCGTTTTAATCCGAGCTAATATTTCGTGGAAATTGTCAAGAATGTTTTCATTTAATGTTATAAATGTAAAATATATTGTTTATAAATTGCGGGTATCATTTTTCATACATCATTCTCAATTAAGCTCATAAACAAAGATGTTTTTCGTTCAAATATATCGAAAAGAATTAGTATTTGAGTTGCTGATTGTAAAACATTATTGAATTTTATTCTATTGAAATGTATTTGCGTAAAACATAACGTTAATAAAGAATACGTAAAACATGTACAATCATGTTCGAAATTATTCTACATTTCTTTAAGAAATAATAACAGCGAATTTAAATACGAAAAGTAATAAATTATAAACATTCTTACAAGATTAAATTTTTTAATCATATCCGTTTTCTAATTTGGTAAAAGCTTTTAAAAGCCAAGATGTAGAATACTTGTTACTTGATGCCTCTTATAAGGAGAGTATTCAAAATACTGTAAATAGACTTTGCTATGACACTTCTTATTTTTATTTTGGTTATTTTAACATTGTTTTGTCTTTTACGTGTATATTTATAGTAACTGTGTTAACATTTTGTAGTATAATTTAAAACGTTCTTTATAAGACTGCTTTTAAGTGAACGAAGTAATAAAAGTGATCGGAGCGTCTTTCTAATTAGCTGTTGGACCTTAGATTCAGGCGCCTTTGACCGATCAAGCAATAAAACCTTTTGAGACTATATCCAAGCGCCATCGTATTTAATGAGCAAGCTAAGCATACTGGAAAGACTCATTTTCTTTGAATTTATTTTGCATATTTCAATGTCAGATCTGGGGATAAGATACTTACAAACAAAAAAATGACCCAGTAATTTTAGAAGCAGTATACAAGTAAGGTATGGAATTGAGGAGAGAAATTAATTAATGTCCTAATTAAAACGTGTCGTTGCCGAAATACAGCTTGTACTTTTCCCAGAACAGTGTGGAGCTCGCAATTGGGATGTATTTCGTTTATTATTTCAATACGAGGGACTCATTTTAATTTCGTTATTTACACCAAGTCAGTGATATGCAAAAACGTTCTTGTATCTCTTACCCTGTTTTGAAATAGACAACAGAGTTAAGAAAAATTTAGATGCATTGCATGAACGGAATAATGATCGTAGTAATTCCGAGATAAAAATGAAGACGAATACTAAAATGAAAATGACGTAACATATGTATGTATATGTACGTACTAATTACACAAGTGCAAAGTAACACGAAAAGTAAAGACAATTTTAAAAAGTGAATACGTTTTTCTACGAAAAGTTAACAAAAAATGTAACAAAGAATGTAAGCGCGAGCTCCTAAAACTCAATTGAGCTAAGGAACCGTTTGTTTTGGAAAACAATAGGCCCTGAAAGGGATGCACTTCGTCTACCATTCACCCTGTCTAGACTAGGCTCTCAGTGATTTCCCCATTTTGCAATCTCAGAATGCAGAGATGGTGTTGTAAAGAATCAAGGCGAGATGCCAATGTCTATTGAAACGAACTTTTCCCAAATAAACACGAATTCTTCAGTCCTGTTAATTTTCGTTATTAGAGATGAGTTAAGCAGGCGATATATAATAGTTAAATAATGAATTCTTTGATAAATTTCAATGAATTAAATGTTAATAAGATAGTGTTATTGACTGCGGAATTTTAAGGAAATTTGAAGGCACTATATAATTATTTGTTAAACATTGTTGTTAAGAAAGAAAAACTCATTTAAACTAAATAATACAACATAATTAGTAACGAAATAAATTAAAATATAGCTTTCAGATAATATGCTGCAACGGAATTCTTTGCCAATGAATAACATAGGAATACGATAGGAATTTATCTCGGCGCCTA